TCCCAACTGAGCTATTTCGGCCGGTGATAACAACTAAGACTGTTGCATACCATATGTAGGTCATCTCGATACATATACAAGTCGCCGTCCAGAGCTGGCGTGGTGTTTATTTCATCTGGCACAGACGCTGCCTGCCATCTGACACCCCCCCTCTCTGACACCCAGAGGTGTAGCGACATATTCAAGCGTCAGAAGCGAACTTTTATATTTGCGTGCCCCCCTCCCCCCCCCCCCCCCCATTTTTAAAAAAAAATTATTTAATTATAAATGCGTTCACCTTCGATGGCGAAAAGCACCTCCCCACTATTTGTAAAGATCTGGACGTTTTTTTTTACCAGTCACTGACCCTAAACAGTTTTTATGTTGGACTCACACAACTGCTGAGGATGTAGGAAACAGTGAGATCAGTCTCAGTGTGTAGTCCACTCTCTAAACTTTGATTGTGTAGGGTCCAGAAATACAGATCAGAATCAGCTTTCTTAAACCCCAAGTTGCGTCCCCCTCGGTGCCGGATCAGACACATAGCCCACCTTCCCCTACTTACGCCTCTGCTGACATATAATGCCAACTGTCACATGATACCAACTGTCACATGATACTCTTCTGTTCATGACCCTCACATGCTGTGTCTCCAGTGGTGTCGCTGTGGTGTCACCCCCACGCCCCCTCCCAGAAACAAAGTTTATATATATATATATATATATATATATATATATATATATATATATATATATATATATATATATATATATGTGGCGCTTCCACACGTACCCTGCCCCGCCCTCGCTACGCCTCTGGTGTCACCCCTCTAAATGGAGTCATCCGATGAGGTTCGCCCCCCCTCCCCGCCCCGCCCTCGCTACGCCTCTGGTGTCACCCCTCTAAATGGAGTCATCCGATGAGGTTTGCCCCCCCCCCTCCCCGCCCCGCCCTCGCTACGCCTCTGGTGTCACCCCTCTAAATGGAGTCATCCGATGAGGTTCGCCCCCCCTCCCCGCCCTCGCTACGCCTCTGGTGTCACCCCTCTAAATGGAGTCATCCGATGAGGTTCGCCCCCCCCCCCCCCATCCGCCCCGCCCTCGCTACGCCTTTGGTGTCACCCCTCTAAATGGAGTCATCTGATGAGGTTCGCCCCCCCCTCCCCGCCCCGCCCTCGCTACGCCTCTGGTGTCACCCCTCTAAATGGAGTCATCCGATGAGGTTCGCCCCCCCTCCCCGCCCCGTCCTCGCTACGCCTCTGGTGTCACCCCTCTAAATGGTCATCCGATGAGGTTCGCCCCCCCCCTCCCCGCCCCGCCCTCGCTACGCCTCTGGTGTCACCCCTCTAAATGGAGTCATCCGATGAGGTTCGCCCCCCCCCCCTCCCCGCCCCGCCCTCGCTACGCCTCTGGTGTCACCCCTCTAAATGGAGTCAACTGATGAGGTTCGCCCCCCCCTCCCCGCCCCGCCCTCGCTACGCCTCTGGTGTCACCCCTCTAAATGGAGTCATCCGATGAGGTTCGCCCCGTCCTCGCTACGCCTCTGGTGTCACCCCTCTAAATGGAGTCATCCGATGAGGTTCGCCCCCCCCCCTCCCCGCCCCGCCCTCGCTACGCCTCTGGTGTCACCCCTCTAAATGGAGTCATCTGATGAGGTTCGCCCCCCCCTCCCCGCCCCGCCCTCGCTACGCCTCTGGTGTCACCCCTCTAAATGGAGTCATCCGATGAGGTTCGCCCCGTCCTCGCTACGCCTCTGGTGTCACCCCTCTAAATGGAGTCATCCGATGAGGTTCGCCCCCGCTCCCCGCCCCGCCCTCGCTACGCCTCTGGTGTCACCCCTCTAAATGGAGTCATCCGATGAGGTTCGCCCCCCCCGCCCCGCCCTCGCTACGCCTCTGGTGTCACCCCTCTAAATGAAGTCACCCGGTGAGGTCTGCACCCCCCCCCCCCCCCCCGCCCCGCCCTTGCTACGCCTCTTTGTATCTCCTACTGTCACTGACAGAATTCTTACTCAAATGTAGGAGAAACAGAGGCGTTTCGAGGGGGGGGGAGGTGGGGGATACGGACCTCACCGGGTGACACCATTTAGGGGGGTGACACCAAGGCAAAAAAATAGTAAAATACATAGAGAAAAATTTGAGGGGGGAGGTTGCAAAGTCGAAATTTTGAGGGGGGTTGCAAATCGAAAGTTCGAGGGGGGGGGGTGCAAATCGAAAAGGGGGGGGTGCAAATCGAAAATTGAACGTTTGTCTTTGGGAAGAGTCGCTACACCTCTGAGGGGGTGACACCATTAAGTGCCGCACCGGGTAACACCCGACCTCGCTTCGCCACTGAGGAGAAAAGTGCAGTAACACAGTTACAACGAAGAATTGATAAGAAAAAAATATGCTAAAAACTATCATTGATAAACACCTAATGTTTTTATCATACTGATTATTATCACACAGCTATAAAACAGCATAAATATAAAATCCTATGTAAGAAGCAACAAACATTAAATTATTTTCGCCAGAAAACGTTACTTATTTAAATTTACTTGACCAATTTCGCAAAATATAAACCGCTTTTAATTAATAAAAAAATAAAACCTTTTTTTAAATTTAAATTGTATCACAATACAATAGTTTTAGTCATGGCTGTAGCTGCAAGTGTTGCTATTTGTAACTGTCTGAAGTGTTCATTAAAGCCTAACAAATTTATAAAAATCTGTGTTTAATTATTATACACTCTGCATTATTGCTGCTTTAAGGCCACAATAAAAACTTTAAAATTAGCAGGTGTGTCCCTTCATTTTTTTTTTGTGAATTTTGTTTTCCCCATTGTCTGGGTGGTACTGACCCCCCCCCCCCCCCACACACACAATCATGGTTTTGTTTAAGAGTTAAAAAGACCAATCACGTAATATCAGGAGCATTGCTTGTTCAGCCAATGATCTTATTATAAAAAAAAATAAGGTTGAGGTTTTTAAAATTAACATCACAGTTTGCACCCCATAGTTTATCGTTGAATTCATATAACTTCAACTTTCACACAAGTCTTCTGTAAAAGAACCCGAAACTACTTTACAAAAAACTGAGGCTTTGTAACATTGACCTATGTAACAGATGAAACAGTAAATTGCAACATCAACTCGTTAAAAAATGCTAGTCAACGATAAAATTTCTCACAAAATAAAAGTCTGCCGAAACCCGGGATCGAACCAGGGACCTTTAGATCTTCAGTCTAACGCTCTCCCAACTGAGCTATTTCGGCTGATGGAAATTACCTTGATTAAAAGTTCTGTTTTAATTTGTCAAATATTCGGAATTGAAACATTGGTAAAATAACTGTAGGTTATTTAATTAACCCTGCTAGAACTCTATACGAAACTTCTAAGATGGTAAAATGAGTGAGAATTTATTTTTCCCAATATAGATCTAGAGGCCTATTAAATTTTTTTTGCGTTTTCTCACAAATTTTCCCGTGTCACTTACTAAATTGCTCTTTCTTGAAATCTGCTTGCAAGTTCTCTGTCAAATTTTCACTGTAGTCTTAGTTGCATAACTGAATCGTATAGACAACAATAAGATTTTATGTGTTTAGAATTTTAGTTTTTCTTTTGAAGAACAAAAAGAGTACGTTATTTAGGTTTTTCATTTAAATTCTTCTAATAGTTTTCCAGAGCATCAGCTTGGAATTGTAAGTTTAAAATATAACATTAAAATTATAAGTGATTGTTTAAAAAATGAAAATTTCAATATTGTTTGTAAAAATGTATTTTTACCCAAAATGTAATCGCTAACGATATCCACATTTTTTGTTCTCATTTTAAATATTCATTAAATATAAATAGAGTGTAAATACACATATTTGCTACCTACTTGCGTAGTTTTCTCTAAACTAGCTGTATGAGCAATTTATTCTCTTCAAAGCATTACCCAATCCCCCCTCCTCCCTTAAAAAAATATAATTTAAGGGTCACGTGGTCACTGAATAACTTTTTACCCTCGGCAGTTTTTTTTTTGCAAATTAAAAAACGAAACGATAGATTTTATTAAAATAGTTCACTGCCTGGACTATTTTCTAATCATTAAAAAACAATTTAAAAAATATTAGGAAAAAATTAACAAACAAAAAAAAGGGCAACAACAAGAACCCCCCCCCCCCCCCCCCTGTCGGTTTTTGTAAACTTACTCTTGAGGGATTAATCCATATATTTTTGATAGTCAAATATTATTCAATTAGTTGATATTGAAAAAAGACAATAGTCAATTAAGGATCTACTTAAACTGACTAAACATTTCTTAGATGATTAATTTACATGTAGGGCCTACGTTATTTTTTATTTTTTTATGTAATTTGAACTAAAGGGAGGTGACCAAAGAAATTTTGTTACTTTTTAAAATATTAACTCAGTTGTTTCCCTTAGGTAGAGCGATTTAGCGTAGTCCATGTTTAAGATTTTGGGATGTCGGCAGTGAAATCGGCTACACGCAGCAGTTGACCAGGCTACACTTAGTAATTGACAAGACTACACGTAGTTATTGACAAGGCTACACGTAGCAGTAGTCTATCAGGCTACACGTAGTAATTGACAAGGCTACACGTAGCAGTAGTCTATCAGGCTACACGTAGTAATTGACAAGGCTACACGCAGCAGTTGACCAGGCTGCATGTAGCAATTGACAAGGTTACTGGTCTACGTAGCTTCTAACCAGATTACAATATATATGACCACACTTTAAGTAGTAACTAGCATGGCTACATGTAGAACTGACCACCAGGCTACGTGTAGCAATTGACCACATACTTTTGGTGTCCTGTATTTCGGCCTGCTAAAACTATTTCAAAATGCCAATTTTTTTCCCAGCAAAAATAATCCCAAAACAATCACATTTCTCCTTGTAGCGAGAACTGATTTGACATCACAGCAGCAACTTGACACCTATTGCGCAACCACAACATCCGGCCTCGACATTGTCCAGATTTTCTTAGGCTGGAATCAAATGACCAACATAAACACACAAAAAGCCGGACGCCGGTATGGCACAGAAAAAGCCGGACGCCGGTAAGGCACAGAAAAAGCCGGACGCCGGTAATGCACACAGAAAGAAGGGGATATTCAGTCGAAGTTGCCCCGACCCCCCCCCCCCCCCCCCCCCCCCCCAAAACTATCGATAGCCGCAGTGAGTAGTGAGAGACACTTGTTTCCTTAGATTCTCTTCCTTCACAAAGACAGTCGTTTCTCTCCCCTTAACTAAGACAGTCGTTTCTCTCCCTTCCCCAAGACCTTCGCTTCTCTCCCCTTCCCCAAGACGGTCGGTTCCCTCCCCTTCCCCAAGTCAGCGCGCGCACTCGCGTCTGACCGCGGCAAGAATGCCCGTGTTTACGTCTGCTATTTCTGTCCCGCCACTTGTTCTACGGAGGGAAGAGACCTCGGCTAGAAGCCACGCTGCGGATACCGTTCCTGTGTACTATTTTTAAACCGTGCTCCAGCATGCACTGGCCTTCTGTTGTTTGATTGTTTCACGTGCGTCCGAGTGAGTACCATCTCTGTGTTTTCACCAGGACTGAAAGATTCCAGGAACCGGTCGTCTGCTGTGGATCATGACTTCCTGGTACCATGGCCGGCCTTCCTGCTACCTAAAGGTCAAAGGTAAACACGTGCTATTTTATTCAGGCTTTCGTCCTTGACCTTTGTGTTGATTCGATGGAACGAGTTGTAAACATTGCGATCAATGCCGGCGTATTGACCTCATATAGACGTGTTCTTATGTTGTGAGATACACACTAGTAAGTCTCTGCTTCCATTCATGATTTCACTGGTTTTCAAGAAAATTCTCAGTCTCGACTATTACTTAATGTACCGCCCCCCCCCCTTTCCACCCAGCGTAGATTGCTTGATCTCAAACGTCGTGTGCCGACTCTTGCAGATTAATTGTTCTAGTCCGTAGTGAGAACAATGTGGTTCACTGGACTTTAATTTTTAAAAATCCAATTAGTAATAGACTAATTATTTTGTAACTCAAGACTAGCTGTCTGTTGTATGTTTGTATCTTCTGCTTGAAACGTTTCTGACACGGTTTCTGTGTGTACATTATAATTGTTTTATTTAGAGTCAAGCATGTTCAAACTTTTTCACGATTATATACGGATTATTTAAAATGATCCATCACCCATCATACCACCCACCCTACCCCACCATCCCACCCACCCTACCCCCAGCACTCCAGCACTCCACCACCACCAATAACCTCACGATACCCCCCCCCCCCCCCATTCTACCACCTCCCCTATTCCCCCCAAACTCCACCATTCTACCCACCCCAACCCCACCATTACATCCCCCACTATTCCAACCACCTCACCCCCCCCCCCATTCCACCTCTGACAGACACAACACAGGAGACTCCAAACAACAAACCACTTGACAAGATCTAATTAAGTTTCCACCTTGATAATTGAACGCGGAGTTTCCCCCAATCAAAACACAGATACCCAGAAGTCATTGGAATCTGATTAGGGTTAGAGTACAAGGTGGATCAGTCAAAGTCTTCACTGGATAGCTTCCCTTGTGTTGCTGTCTTCAGCAGTCAAATACCTTGGGGTGGGGGTGGGGGTGGGGGTGGGGGTGGGGGGGAGGTGAGGAGATGTGCAGTGATACACGGACTGGTCAAGACTGGACTGTGGATCAATAAACAATTTTGTTTGACATGTGGTGGACGCCGTCCATACGTCTGATCAGTCTAGGATAAACGGCCTTAATCCCACTGCTGCTGACCTGATATCCTAGGGATAATTACAGGGACGTGTGTGTGTGTGTGTATGTGTGTGTGGACACGGTGGGACGGGGGTGGTGGGGGAGGTTTTGTGTAGGATCAGATATCCACAGTGCCACCATATCCACAGTGCCACCATATCCACAGTGCCACCATATCCACAGTGCCACCATATCCACAGTGCCACCATATCCACAGTGCCACCATATCCACAGTGCCACCATATCCACAGTGCCACATTACCCAGAGCGCCACTATATCCACAGTGCCACCATCTCCACAGTGCCACCATCTCCACAGTTCCACCATATCTACAGTGCCACATTACCCACAGTGCCACCATATCCACAGTGCCACCATATCCACAGTGCCACATTACCCACAGTGCCACTATATCCACAGTTCCACCATATCCACAGTTCCACCATATCTACAGTGCCACATTACCCACAGTTCCACCATATCCACAGTGCCACCATATCCACAGTTCCACCATATCCACAGTGCCACCATCTCCACAGTTCCACCATATCCACAGTTCCACCATATCTACAGTGCCACCATATACACAGTGCCACCATATCCACAGTGCCACCATATCAACAGTGCCACCATATCCACAGTGCCACCATATCCACAGTGCCACCATATCCACAGTTCCACCATATCCACAGTGCCACCATATCCACAGTTCCACCATATCCACAGTGCCACCATATCCACAGTGCCACCATATCCACAGTTCCACGATATCCACAGTTCCACCATATCCACAGTTCCACCATATCCACAGTGCCACCATATCCACAGTGCCACCATATCCACAGTGCCACCATATCAACAGTGCCACCATACCCACAGTGCCACTACACACACAGTGCCACCATACACACAGTGCCACCATATCCACAGTTCCACCATGTGCCACCATATCCACAGTGCCACCATATCCACAGTGCCAGCATATCCACAGTGGCACCATATCCACAGTTCCACCATGTGCCACCATATCCACAGTGCCACCATATCCACAGTGCCACCATATCCACAGTGCCACCATGTGCCACCATATCCACAGTGCCAGCATATCCACAGTGCCACCATATCCACAGTGCCACCATGTGCCACCATATCCACAGTGCCACCATATCCACAGTTCCACCATATCCACAGTGCCACCATATCCACAGTTCCACCATATCCACAGTTCCACCATATCCACAGTGCCACCATATCCACAGTGCCACCATATCCACAGTGCCACCATATCAACAGTGCCACCATACCCACAGTGCCACTACACACACAGTGCCACCATACACACAGTGCCACCATATCCACAGTTCCACCATGTGCCACCATATCCACAGTGCCACCATATCCACAGTGCCAGCATATCCACAGTGGCACCATATCCACAGTTCCACCATGTGCCACCATATCCACAGTGCCACCATATCCACAGTGCCACCATATCCACAGTTCCACCATGTGCCACCATATCCACAGTGCCAGCATATCCACAGTGCCAGCATATCCACAGTGCCAGCATATCCACAGTGCCACCATATCCACAGTGCCACCATGTGCCACCATATCCACAGTGCCACCATATCCACAGTGCCACCATATCCACAGTGCCAGCATATCCACAGTGCCACCATATCCACAGTGCCACCATGTGCCACCATATCCACAGTGCCAGCATATCCACAGTGGCACCATATCCACAGTGCCACCATATCCACAGTCCATCCACATACTACAGATCGATGTGTTGGTTCTATCCAGTGCCCACAGACGTGATAAAATTCTCAGTGAAGTTGGACGCCAAAGGATTAAGATGAAAGCCGACGGATTAAGATGACTGGATTAGGCTTATCATGTTTACTTTCTCCAAATGTGCACACAGTTATACATAAGCCTAGGCGCGGTCTGTGACTGAGCTATGTGTTTAGGCTATAGTAGATTAAGACATGATGGAACTAATGTTAGGAAACAGGAGTCACACAGCTATATGTTTTCACAAGCGTCATAAGCCAACACAATCTTGAATGGAAACTGTACCAAAACAAAAGACTACATTTATCTAATACTTAGGAAAAGACCACACTACATCAATGCCATACAATTATAGTGAACATTTGTCTAGTTTCCAACTATGTTACCTAAGTATCTCCCCTTTCTCCTCTTATTTGCCCGCCCATCATCTCACCTACCTCACCTATCTCATCTAACTGTACCACGCTACTCTGCCACCTATTATCTCACCAATCTCACCCTGATGACGTGCCTTAACTCACCCCCACCCCCACCTGGGCTCTATGACACATGTCTGACGTAACGAGCTGTTCTCTTCCTGCCCAGTGTTTTTTTCAGACTTTTTTCTCCGGGAGGGGGGGGGGACTGATAGGAACTCTGAAAGACTCTTGTATGTTAACTTGAACGTACGTTGAGGTCAGTGTGACACAGAGGCCAGTTGCCTAGTTACTGAGGTTAGAGAATTATATCTGATGTGAATTAGATACTTGAGACCCCATCATATGTAGACGCCATCAGATGTTGACCCCATCAGGTGTCGACTAAATCACGCGTCGACCCCATCACTTATTGATCCCATGACTTTTGACCCCATCAGGTGTTGACCCCATCACCTGTTGACCCCATCACGTAGAACTCGTTAGCTTCTGACACCTGGCAATACAGTTTTGTAACAATTGTTTTAATTGGTCGCTGTGTAAACTCCGGGTAAACTTTCAGATTTTACCTGCGGCATCACAGGAAAGAGATAGGCAACCTCACCCTGCCTCATCACTACCACACCCCTACCTCAGTCAGTCTCCCCACTACCTCACCCCATACACCAACGCAAACCCTCTCAACCTCACTTTCTACACCCATACTACCCCACCCCTACCTCACCTACATCTCTGTCTGTCTCACTCCCAACTCACCACCAACTGTCAATCTCACACCTACCTCACCGGCTACACTAACCCTACCTCACTCTACATCACCATAACCACAACCCAACCTCACTCTACATCACCACAACCACAACCCAACCTCACTCTATATCACCACAACACCAACCCAACCCAACCTCACAGTATATCACCATAACCACAACCCAACCTCACTCTACATCACCACAACCCCAACCCAACCTCACTCTACATCACCACAACCACAACCCAACCTCACTCTATATCACCACAACACCAACCCAACCCAACCTCACAGTATATCACCATAACCACAACCCAACCTCACTCTACATCACCACAACCCCAACCCAACCTCACTCTACATCACCACAACCACAACCCAACCTCACTCTACATCACCACAACCCCAACCCAACCTCACTCTACATCACCACAACCACAACCCAACCTCACTCTACATCACCACAACCACAACCCAACCTCACTCTATATCACCACAACACCAACCCAACCCAACCTCACAGTATATCACCATAACCACAACCCAACCTCACTCTACATCACCACAACCCCAACCCAACCTCACTCTACATCACCACAACCACAACCCAACCTCACTCTACATCACCACAACCACAACCCAACCTCACTCTACATCACCCCAACCCCAACCCAACCTCACTCTACATCACCACAACCACAACCCAACCTCACTCTACATCACCACAACCCCAACCCAACCTCACTCTACATCACCACAACCACAACCCAACCTCACTCTATATCACCACAACACCAACCCAACCCAACCTCACAGTATATCACCATAACCACAACCCAACCTCACTCTTCATCACCACAACCCCAACCCAACCTCACAGTATATCACCATAACCACAACCCAACTTCACATTTTAAGCCATCCTACCCACTCCTACATCATCCTTCCCCACCCTTCCCCCACCCTTGCCTCACACCCACCCCACCCCTACCTCACCGTTACCTCACCCCTACCTCACACCTACCCCACCCTACCTCACCTTCTACACGGCCCTCTAACCCACCCCTACCTCAGTTTTCAGCTTTGTTGTACCAGTCAGCTGTAAGCTTTTGGCACCAACATTCCTGCAGGAGAGACAAACACAAAGCTTTAAATTATAAACACATTCGTGAGGTGACTGTCCCGGATTTTAACGCTCCCGTGTTCAAATGTTCTTAGGGCGTCATTGAGTCCACTTAGCTCTAATGGGTACCTGACTTTAGTCAGTAAACCCATAAATAAAGAAATTGGAATGACGATAACATGAAAATCTCTCCTCAAACTTTACGCCCCCATTCTTTCGCCAAAGCTTAAAAAGACGGCCCACAGTCCTCCAAAGTTTAGAATGATGGCCCACAACACCCCCCCCCCCCACCCCCCAAGTTTAGAATGACGGCCCACAATCCACCACCAAAGTTTAGAAAGACGGCCCACAATTGTCCACCAAAGTTTAGACTGACGGCCCACAATCCTCTACCAAAGTTTAGAATGACGGCCCACAATTGTCCACCAAAGTTTAGACTGACGGCCCACAATCCTCTACCAAAGTTTAGAATGACTGCCTACAATTGTCCACCAAAGTTTAGACTGACGGCCCACAATCCTCTACCAAAGTTTAGAATGACTGCCTACAATCGGCCACCAAAGTTTAGAATGACGGCCCACAATCCTCTACCAAAGTTTAGAATGACTGCCTACAATCGGCCACCAAAGTTTAGAATGACGGCCCACAATCGGCTACCAAAGTTTATAATGATGGCCCACAATCCCCCCACCAAAGTTTAGAATGATGGCCCACAACCCCTCCACCAAAGTTTAGAATGATGGCCCACAACCCCCCCACCAAAGTTTAGAATGATGGCCCACAACCCCCCCACCAAAGTTTAGAATGATGGCCCACAACCCCCCCACCAAAGTTTAGAATGATGGCCCACAACCCCCCCCCCACCAAAGTTTTGTTAATGATGGCCCACAACCCCCCCCACCAAAGTTTAGAATGATGGCCCACAACCCCCCCCCCACCAAAGTTTAGAAAGATGGCCCACAAACATCCACCAAAGTTTAGAATGATGGCCCAAACCCCCCCCTCCCCCACCACCAAAGTTTAGAATGATGGCCCACAACCCCCCCCCCCCCACCACTAAAGTTTAGAAAGATGGCCCACAAACATCCACCAAAGTTTAGAATGACGGCCCACAATCCTCCACCAAAGTTTAGAATGACGGCCCACAATCCTCCCCCAAAGTTTAGAATGACGGCCCACAATCCGCCACCAAAAACTGACCAAGACGCCACCCCAAGCTCGCGGGCCGATCAATATTTCAAAGAGCAATTTGAGGATGTCGTGGACTGGGAAATACTTTCTGTCCCCGCTGTCAGCTCGAGTGAAGTTCTTTTGTTTTCCTGCCGGTGGGAGAAGTTGATCCCCTCCCCACGAGATTCTGCCCTACCCCCCAAGCCTCATTTGTTGTTCCTAATTTAGACGTCTGTCCGTGACAGGTTGTACCGACTTGTCATGGGCTGTTCTGTAGGTCAGTTGACGTCACGGCTATCGTTTCACTCATTGATAGCATTGCTAAATACAGCTGATCTAAGGGCTATCGTCCAGTACTAGGACCAATTATCTGAAGCAACAACCCCTTGGCCAGATATCAAACAGCACTATCATCAGATGTCCAGATACACAGTGTTATAAAATGTCCAGATTCAACATTAAGGCAAGATGACCTTATACACCACTATGGACTCATTCAGAACAGTAAAATAGATCAAAACCATCTTTAGAATTTGCCCTCCCCCTCCCCTACACCTAAAGAGTAACACTTTAATATTTTTAACCCCCCCCCCAACTCACAACCAACCTGTAACTACTTACCTGTAAGACCTACCTTTAACTATTTACCCGTATGACCCACCTGTAACTATTTACCTATATGACCCACCTGTAACTATTTACCTGTATGAACTACCTGTACACTGTACCCAGGGTCCTCGACAACTTGGATAACGAACCATGATTTGACACCTTTTTCAGCTGTGTCGAATGTCATCTTGTTGGAAATGTCATCACGTTGCAAATGTCATGCTCTCATCGCGACCTTTAAAGTCTCTCCAAAATTCTTTATCATCACCCCCCCCCCCTCGCATCCCCTCCTCCAACTGTTTTGACCTGTTGCCTCTCAGAGGAGACTGTTTTAAGCCTCTTATTTCATTATATTACATCCTACTAACAACCAATGACAACATCACTCGACCCAAACAACCCACCACCCACCCTAACCACCCACCCTAACAACCCACCCTAACAACACACCCCCAAACAACCCACCATAACAACCCACCCTAACAACCCACCCCCAAACAACCCACCCTAACAACCCACCCCCAAACAACCCACCATAACAACCCACCATAACAACCCACCCTAACAACCCACCCCCAAACAACCCACCATAACAACCCACCATGACAACCCACCCCCAAACAACCCACCATAACAACCGACCCTAACAACCCACCCCCATCCCCACCCTTGCAACCCACCATAACAACCCATCCTAACAACCCACCCCCAAACAACCCACCATAACAACCCACCATGACAACCCACCCCCAAACAACCCACCATAACAACCCACCCTAACAACCCACCCCCAAACAACCCACCATAACAACCCACCATGACAACCCACCCCCAAACAACCCACCATAACAACCGACCCTAACAACCCACCCCCATCCCCACCCTTGCAACCCACCATAACAACCCATCCTAACAACCCACCCCCATCCCCACCCTTACAACCCACCATAACAACCCACCCTAACAACCCACCCCCACCCTAACAACCCACCCCCACCCTAACAACCCACCCCCAC